CTAGTTGCCCCTTAAGTACCACATCATTGCTGACTGAGTTGCTTGGTAGCAGATTCTCCTCTCTTCCACCACCACAATACTCTTACCAGAGTAATCTGAAAGGAATTATCTCATGCCTGAATCAGAACTAACACAGCTGGCTTTGCATCTCCATCAACATCTTATCCAGTCTATTAAGTAGAAAAGTGTGAGGTATTTATGGGGCTGGTTAAGAATGCCTTGAATTTTCCTGCATGATTCTAAAGACAATGCATAGCTATGGAGGATATGGGTCTCCAAGGAATGAATGTCCAAATTTTGCTGCTTCAGCTAGTTTTCTCATCAAGCAAATATCCTAAGGGTAGACAAGTGACTAATTTGTTCAAATAATTTTACCATTTTCCCCTCCACCAGTTAACAAAAACTGGTAATCTGCAATTCCTTTCAAACCTCTAGAGATCTGACTAACTGAACATATTCAGTCAGCTAGCTGGATGTTACTCTCTTCATTTAATGAGGAAAATCTCAAGGTTATATATTTGTTGCCTGCTTGGCTAAAAAGCTCTCAGCTTACCCCCATGAACATTGGAACCCATGAATCCCTAAATTCTTTTTCTGACATTATGTGCTGAAGATTGATTTTTCCCCTCACTTAATTTTAACAGAAACCTTAATAAGCACAACTTTGTGTTTCGATTACTCATGCATATATTTGTGCCCCAAATTAAACACAGTGCTCTGGTGGAATTTTTATGAACAAGTCTGCTAGTAAAATGCCTACTAATACTTTTTTAAAAGCTGAAACTGCCATTCAGATTGATTAGCTGAAAACTTCAAAGTAGGGGGATGGACAATTTTTCAACACTAAAGGCTACTTGCATTTTTTCGTACCCATAACCAGCAAAAATCTTTCTATCAACCTGGTGGTTGACAATCCTCCCTCTAAGCTGCAGAGTCTTGTGAGCAAAAATTCTACTTTGTGAGCTACTGGCATTAAAGTTGTGAGCAAGCGATTTGGCTACTGCATACATTAGTTTGCTCTGAAGTCATCCTTCCTGAGCTAAGACAAAAACGTGTGAGCCAGACGCTAAAAGCTGCGAATTAGCTCACACTAACTCAGCCTAGAGGGAACACTGGATGACAGCCACACCTTCTGGAAGTGTTCTACAATGCCATATTAGCAAGGAGAGGCTGACTCTGGCCTGTGCCGGACATTTTAAAATGAGTGAAAATGTCCCCTCCTGCTTCCACTACCAGCTAGGCTGACCAATCATCCTGCTACATTTTTTATCCTACCAAGTCTGAAGCTTTCCTCTGGCCTAAGGAACCTTCCTCCAATGGTTCTTCTGCCAGAGAAAGGCTTATGCTGGATGAAAACTGCAGACTTTGCTGAATGGAATGGTAAGATGCAAGCAACCAACACCAAATAGTCTAACACCTCGAGACAGTTCCATAAATCTATGGGGTGAAAATAAGAACAATAAGATTTGAAAATAACATTTTAATATGACTTGTTTCCTCTGAGCCCTCAAATTTTTACCCAGGTGTTATGCTTATGTATTACTGCTGTCATTTTTACCACTGTTGACTATACTGGGCTGGTTCCCAGATGGTGCCAGTATGCAAATACTATGTGTGGATGCCAGTGAGATCATTCCTGTTCGCCTGTCATGACAGCAAGGTGTGGCTGCCCTAATTCTGGATCTGCCAAATACCTATACATATGATGCAACATTGAATATACCTGATCTGCATAAAATAACAAAGTGTATAAGTCTCATCTTTAACTCCCCTTTTGAGGATGCAACCTCAGGAAAGTATATTAGTTAAACGTTCCCAGTCCCTGTTAACCATGAAAAAGGGGGTAACAGTCACTCCTTCTCAACCTAAAAGACCTTTCATAGAAATGGATTGGTCCATTTGGTCTAGCATCCTGTTTCATACAATGACCAACAGTTAGTCTGGAGGGCCCACAACAAGGTACAAAGGCCAAGGCCTTCCCCAGTGTTGCTTCCTTGTGTTGATATTGAGGTTTACTGCCTCTGAATGTGGAAGTCCCCTTTAGTCACCATTAGGGTTGGGCACAAACTGCAAAAATGAAGTTTGGTTCGTGGTTCATGGCCAGCCTCTGAAATGAACCCATGGCTGGCCCACTTCCTGCTGGACCCAGCTTTGCCACCACTGCTGGAAGGTGCCTAATCCACATGGTCGCCAGGCTGGAGTGGCCCACTTTCTGTTGGAGCAGAAAGCAGGAGTTTAAAGGGGCTTGTAGTCCCTCTAAATCCATGATTTCTGCTCTGGCCAGGAACCGGCACAAACCCTATGGACTGCCTTAAAAGTTTGTGGAAGTCCGTGACCATGGACCCATCACAGATTTTGGTTCCTGAACCACAAACAGCAAATTTTGTCATGGATTTTGCTTTGTGCCCCAGTTTGTGCCCATCCCTAGTTGCAATGGCTAGTACCTATCCTCCATGAATCTGTCTAATCCCCATTTAAAGCCATATATGCCTTTGGCCATCACTACATTATCCGGCAGTGAATTCCACATTTTAATCATTTGTTTGTTTGTTTTTGAATCTACTGCCCATTGAATGACCCTGAGTTCTAGTACTTTGGGAAAAGACAACAAAATTCTCTGTTTCCATCCCCTCTAACCTGTGCATAATTTTATTACCTATATCATTTCCCTCTGTAGTTGTCTCTTTTTAAAAATGAAAACTCCCGGATTCTTCAACCTTTCCTCATAGGAAACATGTTCCAATCCTTTAATCATCTTGATTGTCCTCTTCTGTACTTCTTCCAGCTCTGCAGTGCCTTTTTTTAGATACTGTGACTACAGGTGCTGGTCTTGACCTTCAACGCACTATATGGTTTGGGACCAACATACCTGAAAGACCACCTACTCCCTTATGAACCTGCCTGATCACTACGGTCATCTTTGTAGGCTCTGCTTTGGGTGCTACTCCCATCTGAGGCTAGATGAGAGGCAACCTGAGAAAGGGCCTTCTCAGTCATGGTACCAAAGCTCTGGAACTTTCTCCCCAGGGAAATTGTTCTGTCCCCTTCTGTTGATATCTTCTGCCAGTGGGTGAAGACTTTTTTTGTTTTGTTTGGTATTCCCTCAGTGATTCATCCTTCCTAACCAATGTTTTAATTGAGGTTTTTATGTTCTGTATGTATTTTAACCATTTTTAGTTGTTTTAATGATGTGTGTTTTAATTGGGTGTTGATTTCAATGATGTTAAAATATGATTTTAATGTATGTTTCAAATTGTAAGCTACCTTGGTGGCCCTTGTGAGGACAGAAAGGTGGGACATATCTTTTTCTAAATAAACTGCACAGACGTTTGTTGTGAGAATAAAATAAGGAGGGGAGATCCATGCATGATGTCCTAGACTTTTTGGAGTAAGGGAGTGGTGGCGCAGGCAGTAAGTGCAGCCTGCATTAACATCTGGCTGAACAGCTTCGGCTTTTCAAGCCCCACCGCGGCCAGAGTGAGCTCCCGGCCTACGTCCCAGCTCCCGCCCACCCAGCGGCTCGAAAGCCTGTTAAGGGCGATTAGATAAATGGGTACCTGCTAATAGAGCGGGGGGGGGGCACCCGTCCCTTCTGTAGCGGCGGCGGTGAACGGCGGCGGCGGAAAGAATATGGTGGTGGCTGGCGAGGCAAAAAGGCAAACGAAGGAGGCTGGACCAACAAGCACGGAGGCGAAGCGACGCAGGCCGGAGCCTACTTGGATGGAGGCCGCGAGCATGCGCGAAAGTGCAAGTGGTCCAGGCCCGGAAATGAATTTGCAACAGCCGGAAGGAGGAACCTCAAAGACCAGCGCTGGAGTGGACGCCGCCGGACCACCTCCCGCAAGGCAGTAACAACGAAGATCCGCTACACAGAAAGGGTGCCTGGTAGGCTTGTCACGTACCCTACATGTATGTGGCCCTAGGTTTAGGATTGTATGAATTGGAACATGTAAGCCGCTCAGAGCCCTTTGGGGGTGAGCGGGATACAAATTGAAATATAAATAAATAAATAAAAAAAATAAAAATGTACTTAACATATACAGGGAATTACACTGGACTTTAGGTGCACTAGGCCTTTATCCAGCATTAGACAGACTCAGAGGTAGGAAAGTGTAATTCTACTCCTTCCCTCACATGAGTTACACACAGCTGGGGCTTGAGACAACGGGCCCACTTTTTAGGATACAATGCACTTCACAAGTTTCCATTCCAGTCCAGCAATTTTCTATAATGTCACACTACCTAAAATGCTGTTCCTGTAAGCAGGACTTTTTCCATCCACTTCAACAGAATGAGAAAATCTACACAGGAATATCAAACATACGGCCCAGAGACTGAAACCAACCAATCCAGTGCTCTTATCCAGCCCAACAGCAACTGGTGCAAGGGAGGGAAAGCAGGAGGCTGCTCAAGGGAGAGGAGAAGGCAAGTGGGTGCACGTGGTGAGGTGTGTGTGGTTGTCAAGAAACAGAAAGGAAATTGCTAGGGGGCAGGACTATGAGACTGAGGTAAAATAGTGTGGGGAAAATGGCAGCAAAAGCAAAGAAAGAGGAGGTGTGGTGGGTTTTTTTAACACCGTTAATTGGGTTTTCCTGTGTCATTTATAAAGTTTGTATCTCTGGTTCCTGGCATTACATTTTATGACACACATGCCCCTGCCCAATAAAGTAACATTTATGTCAGATCTGGCCCTCATAACAAATGAGTTCTGACACCTCTGACCTACACATTCATTCCTTTATGAGCATGAATCTCACCACTGAAGTGAATGGAGAAGCTTACATATGCTGGAGCTCCTAGTGGGTATCATACAACTGAGGTGGCTTTGGAAGAGAATGCTGATCTTCCTCATCAAATTTGAAACACTGATTTGGAAATGTGACAAAGAAGTCACCAGGGAGCACAAAACTGCCTTGGGCATCATTTTATAGCCTGCAAGCTCTACGTTGCTCATCTCTGCATTGAAAAGCAAGAAACATTTTTTTACAGACTCGACTTACTTTTTGGGATGCCAAGTATTCCATGCCTCTTGCCAACTGGTATGTACATGAGACTAAATCTTTAAATGTCATCTGCTCTTCAGGTACCCGGTTAATGTCAAATGAATATTCCATTCCTGGTGGTCGCCGCGCTCTCAGGTACTCTCGCAAATTCCCTTTGGAAGCATATTCCACAAGCACGTACAGGGGCCCTTTAAGTAGGCAAACATACAAGAGGAGATAAAAATTAGAACATATGTGTTCAGTGCCATTTTGCCCACAAAATAAGTGGAAGAACCTGCATTTCTGACTCAAGGAAGACATACTCAGCAAGCAATTATTATGTCAAATGAGAGCTAAGTGTCTCATCCAAACTCTGTTATACATGTTTCTATCTCCACGCAAACACAGCATCTGTCTTTCTCCATATAGATCTACCTATAGACCTCAATACTCAAGAATATTTAAAGCAAAGTAGATGCCCCTAGTCACTTTTTAACCATACTTTTACATTCTTGTTATAATTACTCTCAACCAGCATATCCTTAACCACATCGTGAATGACTTTAAATGTTATGGTTAGCTAAAAGGCAATAATATGGACAAACACCTTGTGCTTCGTATCCCATCTCCATCTCATGATAAATACTTCTTTTGCAACTCCCACAGCAAGGAATCAGGAAACTCCACAGAAAGGGCAGCTTGTACTTATATGCACTTCATAGCTCCACTGAGGGATCAAATTAATATTTCATCCGGATCCTGCCTCCCTAGCCAGTTTTTACCCTTCTCTTGCCCGGTGTTCAATTACACAAAGAGAAAACTGGGATAAATGGAATGACGGAGAACAGAATGGACAATTATATTAATCCAGAACAAAGTTTGTGTCCAGAGGCACCTTTAAGACCAACAAAGTTTTATTCAAGGCATACGCTTTCATGTGCATGCACACGAAAGCTTATATCTTGAATAAAACTTTGTTGGTTCTTTGTTCTGCTGTTTCAGACTAACATGGCTACTCACCTGAATCTATATTAAGAAGAAGAAGAAGAGATTGGATTTATACCCCACCCTTCACTTGGAGTCTCAGAGCGGCTTACAAAGTCCTTTCCCTTCCCCTCCCCACAACAGCAACAACAAGCCTTTATTACGGTCATAGACCAGTATAATAGAAGACAGATAAGTACAGATAAGGGAGCAATAAAATTATAAAATATTATGGCATCTAAAATTATAAATAAGAATCTAAAAGTGTTAAAATACAGACATGATAAAATCAATATTAAGATCAGAAATTAGATTTAGGCCTATCTGTACTTTATTTCTTTCCTAGTTTGGTATGCCAACCAACCAAATTTGGCAACCATCCTAGTCAGCTTTTGGTTATCCCCTGCCAGCATAGTTGACAAAAGTATGCTTCTATTACGACCTGGAAAGGAATTAACTATAGGCTTGATCAAAACTTCCCTAATGTTTTGATATATAATACAATCAAAAATTACATGTTCCAATGTTTCGTCAGCTCCCAACCCACATATACAACTTTTCCTCTGTGTTCTAGTATATCTTGCCTCCATTATGGCTGAGGGTAAGGCGTTGTATCTTAATAGGGTAAAAATTCTTCTGTGGTTGCAAATATCTAAATATTTGATATAAGATCTCAAAGTTATCTTATTAAGTGTACTTACATCAAATACAGGGCTCCTAATCCTACTCACGTCCATCTGTCGTTCAACATCTAGTATTCTTTGTTTTAGAACTGATCTAGCCTGCTCATGTCCCAAGGACAGAATAAATTGTTTTGAAAAACCATAACAAACCAGTTTATCTTCTATCTGTTTCCGCCATAAAGGAACAAAGTTGTCTTGCATCATAGTATGGGAAAGGCCAGTGGATAAGAAAATCAGTTTTAACCAATAATGAAATGCAGCAATCCACAATCTTGCCTCCACCGTGACCAGGCCAGCCTCTAAGCGGATTGCAGCGTTTGAAACACTTGGTGGAACTTGAAAAATAGCTCTTAAAAATTTCGATTGCGTTCTTTCAAGTAAGGTCAAATTTGCCAGGAGGGACAAAGGAGCTCCATATAATAATTGGGGTAAAACTTTTATAGTAAATAACTTAATGGCAGCTTCTACAACAGACACCCTGTGAGGTGGGTGGGGCTGAGAGAACTCTGACACAAACTGCTATTTTTCAAGGACAGCTGTGCCAGAGCTTTTGACTGACCCAAGGTCACATCAGCAGGTGCAAGTGGAGGAGTGGAGGAATCAAACCCGGTTCTCCCAGATTAGAGTCCGCACACTTAACCACTACACCAAACTGGCTAATCCATTTACTCTTTAGATTGGAGGGAAGTACAGCGTGAATTATGGAAAATGAGACAGAAAAAAGACCAGTATGTCCAACAATATAACAATTCAATACCACATATGCAAATAAATACATAAGAAAAAAATTGCTGACCCTAGCTTCTTTCTGCAACCCTTTTCCAGTGCAAGATGCTACCTCCTAAAGCCTTTCCAGTGCAATTAAGTACAACAGTGTGGTGCCCATGGGTGTCATGACATCTGTCAACACCTGTCTTGGTGCCCACCAAGTGTTTTTACAAAATGTGTAGTGCCAGGTGGGACACTTGCACAGCAGGGCTTCTGACTGGCGGCTGGAGATCTCAAATTGGCTGGGCAAATTAAATAACATTGTTTCAGAAGCAGCTACAATCACAGTGTTGGTTTTATTCTCTTTCACTTCTCTTTCCTGGTGTATTTTTAAAAATTATCCCTCTTATCCCCCTGCACTCGGGCTTCCTCTGTGTGTGTGGCTGCCCCTCCTGTGGCAGCCATTTTGTGGTTGAGCCCTTCACCCTGTGTCAGAATTCCAAAGATGCACAAAGACTCATAAAGGCTGGGGACTCTATTAGGACATCTATCAGCTTCTTTCTGCTCCCATACAAAAATTAAATCACATGTTCCCTCTAAGCCGTGGAGCCTTGTGAGCAAAAATTCTACTTCATGAGCTGCCAGCATTAAAGTTGTGAGCAAGCGATTTGGCTGCTGCATAAAAGAGTTGGCTCTGGAGCTGTCCTTCCTGAGCTGAGACAAAAATGTGTGAGACAGAGGCCAAAAAACTGTGAGCTAGCTCACACTAACTCAGCTTAGAGGGAACACTGCTTACAATCTCATTTGCATGCCATTTTCATGTATACTATATCAAGAAGCTACATTAATCTCATCCCTTACCATCCTGAGTACATGCCCCAAGGAGATTGATAATATTTTTGTGCCTCCCTATCATCTTCATCATCTCCATTTCAGACACCAGGTCAGACAGGTCTTTTTCTGTAGCGTCATCTGCAAAAGGAAAAAACACACGATCTGCTCACAAATTTATCTAGTCTACCTGCTCGATTCGCTTTTCTTCAGTAACCACTGCATTCACCTCTTATAGCATTTCCAACTGGTGAAATAAAATTTAAAAGACCAATCAGACAGCATATATAGTAGTAGTATAAAAATTCTGGTTCCAACATGATACTGGTCTGTTTTGCATTTGGACATACTTATTCAGGCCTTATATAAAAGAGCTTTAGCTAATAATGTGCACTTACATGAAGTACTTCAGTAATCCAAGAAAAAACTTCTGATAGGCTAGTAACCATATCATTCCACCTAATATCCCAATCCTCCACAGATCAACAGTGCTTTTCTCTTGCCTACTGAACACACCATCCCTCTCTTTGTCCAGTCACTTCAATGCATCACCTAAGCCAGGGTTCTCCAGTGTGATGCCCATGGGCGCTGTGGCACCTGCCAGTGCTTCCCTTGGCCCTTGCCAAGCTTTTTAGAAAGTGGGTATGAACATTGTAAGGCAGGGATTGTTATTCTTCATTAATTCCTTTATTCATTCAAATAAATGGATTTTTCACTGAAGGATCAAAAGAACTGGCAAGAACCTGACTTTGCCTTAGTCAGTATGGTTCCATTCCCCCTTCAGGCTTTTCATTTTCCCAAGAGGTGTGAGGAGGGAAGTATTCCATTTGGCTTCACTTCCTCCAGAAGACATTTAGAGTTTCACTCCCTGTGGAAGCCGTTTTGGGGGGTAGTACTCAACACCCCCTCTCAAAACACCAAATGTGCCCGCGGGCTCAGTTGGGGACCCCTGCCCTAACCTGTGCTGTGAAACAAAATACAGTTTTTGTATCTCTCATTTCTTTCTTACCACTTATTTGCTTTTTAAGTTTCCCCTCCAGAGAGGATCAAATATGCTCTCCTAAACAGAGTTCCACACTTCTATTCTACTCTTCTGTGAGTCAATGAACTTAGCTGTAACTCTTTTTAGGATTGCACTGTAAATCCCTGACATGCATTCTGCTTGATTAGTTATCACTAAGGGTGTGCAGGTTTTTTTAACTCGGTATTTTTTGGTTTAGGTCTATTGGCCCTGAAAAAAATTCGGCATTTCTGAAAAATCCCAAATCCCAGTATAGTATTCAAATCTGGGATTTTTTGGAAATCCCAGTTCTTTTCAGGTCCAATAGACCTGAGAAGAAAAATACCGGATATTTTTTTTTTAAAAGCCAGTTTGATCTTGGGGCTGGCTTGGATTCTCCTGCAGCCTGTTTTAAAGTGCACCGCAGGAGAAGCCAGCTCCAGGATCTGTGTGCCACAGGGAGATCACTCCCCAAGGTATGCAGATCCTGGCTAGGATGCAGATCCTGGATGCTTAAACCATGCTGCAGAAGAGCCAGCTCCTGGATCTGCATGCCACGGGTAGTTCACTCCCCAAGGCAAACAGGTCCTGGCTGGGATGGCGTCTTCTGCAGCCCAGTTTAAACTATGCTACAGAAGGAGCCAGACCTTGCTCCCTGAAGCATGCACAACCTGGCTGGGACGGCTTCTCCTGCAGCACAGGAAGCCAGGCGCAAGCCAAGCCAGTGGGAACAGTGTGTTTCCCCCGAAACAGCTGATCCTGATGCTCGGGTTGTCTTCTGCAGTCCCTTTAAACTATAAAGTCTACTGGAAATTCCCGAATATAACTGGGATTTTGGGGGGGGGATTTTATTTTTGTTTCCCCAAGAAAACCTGGATACATTTGGGATGCCAAAATATCCCTGAAAAATATCGATAAGGTGTTTTTCAGGTATATTCTCGGATTGGGTAGACCCGAATGCACACCCCTAGTTATCATCAAAGGTTTTCTATGACCCATGCCTCCTATTCTGAATGTAGGAGGATAAGAGGGGTGGTGTTACTGAACAAACTGGAATTTCTACAGATGTCACAACAAACCACTGTTTGTAGAAACCAAAAGCCAGGTACAGACCAGGATTTAGAATTCCAATTCACCCTCCGATAGTTGGGCAGCCCTCATTCGGACATTATACTAAAAAGGATATTGTTGTTTAAATGAGATGTTAAACAAGAAATTAGTGTTTATAAACTGTGGCATATATTGATGGCTGAACGTAGTCAGCAAGAAAACAGCTGTTTTCTATAAACTGTGGCATATATTGATGGCTGAATGTAGTCATTAGCAAGAAAAGCGCTGTTTTTCTGTATTTTCCCCAGTATTATGGCTTTACATCTCTCAGTTATCCCAGTTAGCTGATATTGAACTAAGCAAATAGACTAGGTTCATACCTAATTATTACTATGTCACCCAAGAGTCATGCTGAATGGGCATTCCTCCCCTCCATAATCAGTTTTTAACTATCTCTCTAGCACTGTGGCTGCTTTCATATAGGCAAAAAGACAACTGACAAACAACCAGAATTTGTTTCTGATAACTAGCAATAACCTGATCAAGTATAACCGTGCTCTGTTAAATGAATCTGTGAGGGTAAAAACATCAACATGACATCTAAGTTTTACAAACATTTGTGCATTCTTTCCCCCCACATCCTCTCTTTTCACAATGTGTCCAAGCAAGACTGGGCCTGATTCAACTATTTATTTTCTGATGCAATTTATGCTACAGATGTCTTTGAAGAAGGTTTGAAAAACTAGAGTCTGTAAGTCTCCCCTGTGGATCAAATCATGAGGCAAGGAATAAACAGTCATACTGAGCCTTTGACTTGCTTGTAAATACCTGCTGCTAAGGATAAATAGGCTGTCAAATGCACTGATTTATACCACAAAACCTCTGAAGGCTGAGGTCGGCTCTGTGAACTTTGGCCTTCTACAGTTAGAGCTTAGATGCCACAAAAGAAGCATTCTTCACAGAATCTGCCACTTTCCTCAGTCTCCCCTTTCCCCTAATATATTACCTTTCAGCATTTTCACTGCCACAGTAACGGCTTCTTTTGGTCTGTCTTTGTCAATTCCCACTGCTTCCGCCATGACAACTTGACCAAAGCATCCTTCCCCAAGGGGTTTCCCTAGTGTTAACCTAGGGGTATAAACATGATATTAGCACACAGCATCTGACCAGAAGATAAAACTGGTGAAACTGAAGAGTTAAAAATAATCTTCCAATAAAGTGTCTTGATTGGAGCAATTGTCATATCGCAATAAAAAGAGTATTAGTAGATTCCTGGGTTTGTGTGGATTCTGTACTACTTACATAGCAAAATGTACCCATATATGTACAGGTATAAAAACATTACTTTCTGGCTACAGTAACATGTACAGTTTCTCCAAATGCAGTGCGTCACTCTAAACAATTGAGTCCCCAAAGTAACAGTGCAATCCTAAACAGAATTACTCCCTTCCAAGGCCATTGGAATCAGTGTGCTTAGAAGGCCGTAACTCTATTTAGGATTGCACTGAAACCTAGTTAGCACCCCACCCCTGGTTTAGGATGCAAGCTGATCAGAAAGTTCCGTCTGCTTGTATATGTTTGGCTTCAGTTATTAACTAGGAGTTGGCATGATTTAGGTTACTTTACAGTAGCATTCATGGTATCTTTTAAATATCAGATTATCCAGTATAAAATTTGAAGGACAGAAGATATTTAGAAGGATTTTAAGGTAACTATTGCATGAAGTTCATTCTTCTTTATTAAGTGTCCCTGCTTTATTTCAGAAGGCTTACTAACCTAAAAAAAAGCTGCAAAGAGTCAGAGTCCTAGGACAAACCCACAGGAAACAGCAACAAATCAACATACACAGAATGAACCACCACAGAGCTGTCAAAAGCCTTTCAGAAGAGGCCACAGGAGTGGATTCTGCTACACTGAGCATAATGTAGCTGCTGATGCTGTGGGTGTTAAGGGCTGTCAAGTCACTTATGGTGACCCTATGAATTAATGACCTCCAAAATGCCCTATGGTTAACAGCCTTGCTCAGGTCTTGCAGACTGAGGGCTTGTGTCTTCCTTGATTGAGTCAATCCAGCTCATGTTGGGTCTTCCTCTTTTCCTGCTGCCTTCAACTTTTCCTAGCATCATTGTCTTTTCCAGCAATTCTTGTCCTCTCGTAATGTGACCAAAGCACAATAGCCTCAGTCTAGTTATTTTAGCCTCTAAGGAGAATTCAGTCCATGGTATCCATAAAACTCTCCTCCGACACCACATTTCAAATGAATCCACTTTCTTCCTGTCATCTTTTTTCACTGACCAACTTTCGCACCCATATATAGTGAAGAAGAAGAAGAAGAACTTCACCATTTATACTGAAGAAGAAGAAGAAGAAGAAGAAGAGAAGGAGGAGGAGGAGATTGGATTTATACCCCGCCCTTCACTCAAAGTCTCAGAGCAGCTTACAAACTCCTTTCCCTTCCCCTCCCCACAACAGATACCCTGTGAGATAGGTGGGGCTGTGAGAGCTCTTTCCAGAACTGTCCTTGAGAGAACAGCTCTGACAGAACTATGGCTTTCCCAAGGTCATTCAGCAGCTGCAAGTGGAGGAGTGGGGAATCAACCCTGGTTCTCCCAGATTAGAGCCCACACACTTAACCACTATACCAAACTGGGGAATACTATGGTATGAAATATCTTGGTCACCACCAGCCACTCATCCTTACACTTAAGAATCTTTACTAGCTCCTTCATGGCTGCCCTTCCTAATCTCAATTGTCTTCTGATTTCTTGATTGCAGTCTCCCTTTTGGCTGATGATGAACAGAAAAGCTTTTAACAATTTCAGTTTCTTCATCATCCATCTTAAAGTTTTACAATTCTGCAGTAGTCATTACTTTTTTCTTCTTTTTTATAAAAAAACACAGAGTTTGTAGGATATACAAATCTTTTCTTGCACCCTACTGTGGCATGCCCCTTCACACTCCCCAAAAAGCTTTGGATGGAGCAGTGGACTACCCAAAGTGTGGGGGAAGGTGAGAAAGGAAGGAGAACGACTGCGGGGGCACAACACATGCGAGAATAGCTGGAAGAACCTCACCCTCCAGTGGCCCAGCCTCGCCCCAAAGGTCTTTCCACCCCCCACACATGAAAAAACAATAAATCCCTGGTTGCAGAGTCAAGCCTCCAGTTCTATGATGGTAAGCTCACAGCTAGTCTTAGGAAGGTAGAGAAAGGCAGGGGTGTGAAGAGTTAACCATCCAGTCAAAGCTAGCGTGTTGAGGGTGGTGGATGAGGAATAAGCGTACTTCACTCAAACTAATGCATGGCAACCAGCAAATGGGAAGATAACTAGCCAGGACTGCAGGCACAGGAGATCACTCTTCCTTCTTGTCCCTGGGGTCATTGCACGCCACCTGGAGCTTGGAGTGTTCATCCTTCAGCCAGTTTGCACATTGCCAACAGCTCAGCCTTCTCCAAGGCTCTCTTTGTAGAAGCCAGTTCATCCATCAGCTTCTTGACTTTGGCCTCCAGAGCTTTGTTCTCTTCCAGAACCCTGGAGCCTTTGGCATTAAGATCTCCAGCATCAATTCCTGCCAATTTCAACTCCTTCTTCAGCTTGTTGTTCTCCTCCACGTACTTCTTGGTGGCACTACTTGCTCCTTCCACCCGCTTCTTGAAGGCTTCGTTGGAGGCCAGGGTGGTGGC